GACGGCGGAGGGAGGGAGCTGGGAGGGGGATGGGAGAAGGGAGGAAGAGGGAGAAGGAGGGAGCGCGGAGGAACGGAGGAGAGGGGCCGGGAGGGAGACGCGAGGGAGGGAGCGCGAGGCAGGCTGTGAGGGGGGAGAGTGGGGGATCCGGAGAGGGGGAGGCGCTGTGCGAGTTGGCCGAGACCGAGGCCGAGGGGGCCGGGGCCCGGGGAGGGGTTCGTCGAGGCGGAATGTGGGGCACCCGCGGGCCTGGCGCCGGAGAGGGCTCGGTAGGAGGGGTTGTGGGCTGTAAGGGCAGGCGAGCCAGAGATAGAAGTTTGGGGGTCGGGGGATCGGTGGTGTCGGAGGTGAGGCGGGAGGTTGTGGATAAGTGGCAGAGATTGGGGTAGCGGGTTAGACTGGAAAGACGGAGGTGCTTGGGGGCAGTGAGGTGTGAGACTAGGAGAGGTGAAAAAAGCTTGGGGTGACACCCATCTGTGGCCGAGATGAAGAGAGAGGTTTAGAGACAGTTATCAGAGAAAAAGGGGTGCATGTTTGGGGTCTTCCTTGGGGAGCAAGTTGAAAAGATGGGGACATATAGGAGGGTGAGGCTTGGGGAAGAGAGTTAAGAGTTTGTAGTGACGGTTTCGGGGCAAAGAATAGGAACTGAAAGAATTTAGAGGTGATGAAGAAAAACTGGAGACAAGTCCAGAGATGAGGGATGAAGGAAGTGAGCCAGATACATATTCTGGGGGGCAACCAGCTTCTAGAAAGGGAGGGAAAAAGACCCAGGGGTGGCCAATTTCTGGGAGTGGAGGTTTTCTGGGGTTAGAATAAAGAGATTGGAAGGAAATGAATGATAAACAAGGCCTTTGGTGGCAGTCTGGAGGCGGGAAGATCAGTGGTGCAGAAGATAAGAGTGGAACTGGATAGGGAAGGCTGTTTCCTGTAGGTAGGAGATGAATTTCTAGGAGTGGGAAGCCCCCTCAGGCCCTCCTGTCTGATGGTGTTGCCATTTTCCTTCTCAGATCTGGAGATCACATGCTACCTTTGGGCCCCCAGGAAGGGGCTGGGTGGGGATTAGACTCAAAATGGGGCCAAATGCCTAGGTGTCCTGCTTCCCCCAGTCACTCTAATGTGGATGAGACAATCCTCAACACAGATCAGGTTCTGCCTTCTCTCCCCTGCAGACTCATTCTGCCAGCCATTTTCAGTTTTCAACCATGAAGCAACACCACCACCCCCAGTCCACCACCACCGTCTGGGTTCTCTCCCTGGCCCCACACCCAGCAGCTCCGTCTCCCAGGACAAAGGACACCAAGACACTGGGTGCTTTTTGGCAGCAGAGATTGGGAAGACCAGAGAATGGGAAGGAGGCAGGCTGGGAAACGGGAAGAGCCGGAGCTGGAGTCTGGATTGGGAGCTCTCTAGTTTTGGGTGGGGAGAAGGTATTTGTGAGGCCATACCTGCGAGTAGCCAAGGTTGGGCCAGGAGTGGTAAACTCCCACCAGACTCTGTGGGAGAAGGGAGCTGGCTCTGTGTCAACTGGGTAAAATTTTGCCTCAGGTCCTTGAGCCAGGCGCCACCAAGTTCTAGCAACCCCAAAAGCTCTAAATGGATTCTCAAGCACTGGGAACCTGGGCAAAGGAGGCTTCCTTAACCAAGAAAAGAATCACCACTCCAGCAGGCTGAGTTGATTGACATTCACTTTACCACCCCAAGCCCACCTTCCTAGTCCCTGGGGGCCTCTGAGGCCAGGCCAGTTCCCCACCTCCCCCAAGCTACCCAGACTCCACAAAGGTTCAGGATAACCCTGGCCTTCTCTCCACCCCCCAACTTTGTTCCAAGACTCCTCCCCCCTCCCCCCCAGTTCTTTTTCCCCCTCCCTTCTGCATTTCCTCTCCAGCAGCACTTCTCAGTTCAGTCTCCCACTGGGCCCTGGGCCTTCTCACTCCCTCCCAGGCTGAGCTCTTCTCCCCAGTTTTTAACCACTAAGGAATGGGCTTAGATGGTACAAATCTGAACTGAAAAGAAAAAATATCAGCATAGGTAGGAACAGAGGAGGGGGAAAGAGTCAGAAGAGCAGCCTGGGCCCAGCCCCTACAATCCTTCCCCTACCTGAGGGCTAGGTTCACAAATCAGGGAGCATCACAGATACCCCACCATGCCTCACCTCAGCTCCCTTTCTGGCCCCAGCCCCCCACATCCCACTGGTCTCCAGGCAACGGCACAAAGGGAAAGTGGAGAGAGGGGCCTAGGAGGCCCAGGCAGAGCTAGCTGTAACCCAATCCAACCCAGTACCTGAGGGGCGGAGGGATGGGGCAAGACTGCCCTAGGAGACCTGGCCAGGAGGGAGCCAAGAAAGGGCAGAGGTTAGCAAGTGTGGCTGGAACCAGAATCGTCCTGGCTGGCCAGTTCAAGAGTTATAGAGCTAAGATAAAATGGATGCTAGAGAAAACAGCGACAAAGAAAAAAGGAAGGTGTGCCCCAAGGGAAACAGGAAAGGGGGAGACATGGAAGGGAAAGATGAGATGCCCACACTAAAAGGGTCGGGTCAGGAAGCTCTTTCAGCTGAAATGGCTGAGGTTTCAGGGACTCAGGAGGAGGAGAGCGGAGAAATGAGGTCTGTCCTACAAAACTGGAATCCTCTTCGAGCTCTGGAGCTGGGCAGGATGGCAGAGGGAGACTAGGACAGAACTGAGAGACGGCCACAGAAGGATCCTGGACATTTTTCCCAGCCCACCCCTAACTGGGGGCCCCGCCTGGTGTCCTGCAGAGCTCTGTCTCCCTCTAGTGGTCACAGTTCCTACGTGCTGTCCCGTGCCCTGTTATCCAAGGCATCTCAAAGCTGAGGCTATGTCCTGAGCTGAAGTGTTAAAAGGGGGTCTCTAGCCACACAGGAGCACCCTACTGGGAAGCTGCCTGCCCTCAAGACACCTTGGGCACTTCAGGTCTTGAATCTGAAGTTTACTGATGGCCTCCTTAGGCCCTCTATGCCACACCGCCGCACCAACCACCATTTTTCCCCTCCCAACTCTTGCAGGGTGATAGCTGTGCCATGCGGTGCCAGCCCAGAAGCAGCCAGGGTTTTGATTGTTTGTTTGTTTGTTTTGAGGGCAGGGAGACATAGTAGGGAGCTGCTCCAACCCACAGCTTTATCCCTTCCTTGGTCAAAGTTCTTTGAGAATCTGAAAACACTTTGGATCCCTTTCCCCAAAAATATACACATACAATTTTAAATACTTTTAGAGGTTCCTGAATCTCAGATGAAGAAGCCCTGATTCACTTGGTCCCAGGGCCAGGCTGTGACTGAGACAGTAAGGGTGAGTCCCCTGCTCCAGCCAGCATGGGGCAGGCCATGCTATTCATTGTAGACTGTTCTGTTCAGTGTGTCTTGCTGTGTGTGTCTCCCCAGCTCTGCGTTCTGGCACCCAGATGTTCGTCATCTCCCCTCATTTGGACTAGAGTGAGGCCGTTCAGACACAACAACGCACTGTGATTCAGACTTTAATGGCGGTGCTCATCCAGCGCCACAGAGGTGGTGGCAACTGTGGGACATGGCGTGGGGGGAGTGAGACATGGCTCTGGTGCAGCTGGGGCGAAGGACAGGGAAGCTAGGGCGAAGGAGAAATTGGGGAGGTAGAAGCCCCCAGGTGTACAGCCCCACCTCTGCCGGAGCCAGGCTTTAGTTAAGGGCTGCTCTTGCACCAGGGAGCTGACATCAAGGCCCTTTTCTGTTCCCCTTCCCATTCCAGCAAGACCTATGGCCACAGGAAACACAGACACAGTGTCCTCAAATTAGCCATACTTTTTTGGCCCGAGTTATGGGGAACATGATTAAATTAACAGGATGAATGAAAAATGAATGAATGAATAAATAAATAAATAAATAAAATAATATGCCAACATCTTAGACCAGGCAGGACTACGCCACCAGCACTCCCCTCACCTCAGCCTGTAGGGCTGAGATACAGCATGGAAACCACATAGAACTAATGAGACATGGCCCCTCTCTAAATGTGGCACCAACCAACCCTGGTGCTCCTGTCACAGGCCCTGATCCTTCTTCCATGCACCCCCTGAGAATGCTCAGTCCCATGGCCAAGTTTGAGGAGGAGAATAGAAAGGAAGGAAACATGGAGAGTGGAACCCAGAGGAGGAGCAGAGACAGCAGGGGTCAGACAAGCCAAGGAGCAGCGCAGCCAGGGAGTCTGGGGCAGATGTCACAGAGCAGAATGGGAAGGAATTTTCCAGGAGGATGGGAGAGAAGTTCCAAGTCTCTAGGCCAGCAGAGGGTCACAGCACACTGGGGTTGCGGAAATTATGTCCCGCGAAGCGAGCTTCGTCCCCCAGCTCTTCTTCAATTCTGAGTGATGAGCCAGAAAAGGAAGGTCAGGGAAGCAGGAGGAGCCTACTTCTCTTTCCCCAGTCTCCAAGCCCCTCAGACCACCTGCTCCTGTGTCTGCCCACAGGTGGCCATTTTCTCCCAAACCCCTCCTCCCAAACCAGGTATATTCTGGATGTCTGCTGTTCTCCAGACTCCTGACCCTCTAAGTGAACATGGGTGAATAAAGCTTTTGACTTTCTGGGCCCAGGCTCCCTCACCTCATGAGCTGGTTGTACTTAGCCAGACGCTCAGAACGGCATGGGGCACCAGTCTTGATCTGAAACATCCCAAAAGAGAGGCCATTTCATGGCTGCCCCTGAAAAAAAAACCTTCTACTCTCTGAAAATTCCCTACACCCTCAAACATCTGAAAAAGGGGACCCACCTGAGCCTAGAACCCACCCATGCCACAAGGAGCCCCCTTCCTCCACCCCTCCCCGACACTCACCTGACCTGTGCAGAGCCCCACCACCAAGTCAGCAATGAATGTGTCCTCAGTCTCTCCTGAGCGGTGACTCACCATGACCCCCCAGCCATTCTCCTGGGCCAGCTTGCACCTGCATCCGTAAAGCAGCACTGACCCACACCCCTCACACTGGACACTCTCCCCACCCCCAACAATGGTCTGTTAAGGAACCTCTGGAGAAGGTGTCTGGGAGGGGAGCAGGAGTGAGTGAAAGCACAGAAGTGAGAGCTATGAAAGGGAATCCAAGGCTCTGCTCTCTCTCCATACCTGGGCAGGTTCAGGCTGGGAGCATTGCAAGGGGACCTGGGGGAAAAGGGGGCTGAGTGGGAGAGGGCCAGGAAGCACTCACGCTTGGATGGCTTCAGTCACTGAACCAATCTGGTTGACCTTGAGCAGCAGACAGTTGCAGGCCTTTTCCTCCACTGCCCGCTCGATCCGCTTTGGGTTAGTCACTGTCAGGTCATCACCCACAATCTGGATCCCTACGTTGGCTGTGAACTTTGACCAAGCGGCCCAATCATCCTGGTCAAATGGGTCCTCGATAGAGACCACTGTAGGGAGAGCCATAGAGATGGGACTGGTGATCTTTCCCGAGTCTCTGCATCACGCAGGAACACACCCCTGGATTTTTCTGAAATGGACAGATCCCCTGGACCTGCAGGGTTCTGCTCATCCTTCCTTCCCCGCCACCAGTAAGCCTGCCCCAATTAGTCCCTATCTTGACACTGTCATAAAATCTTTCAAAAACAACGGTGCACAACCTCTCTCACAACCTATCTGTGTGCTTTTCACTGCCAGGAAGCCCTTCCTCCCCACTAAAGGCTACATTCTACCACCGATGTTCACTTTCTCTTGTTCAGTCCTCAGGAAAATGACACCAGCTGCCTCCATGCAGGAGTAAAAGCCCCAGGAGACCTGGAGAGGGTGATTCCAGTCCTCCTCTGCCTTCTTTTCTAGCCACAGTTACTTCTAGCTCCTTCAACATGTACGACTTTATTCATCGAAAATATCATAAGGGCCATTTCCTGCTGGGTCCACTCATCTTCCCAGCCCTGTCTCCTTCTAGAGCCTTCCCCGGCCCCAGGAGCTTCAAAGCTCATGACTTTCATCAGATATAAAGCAAATAGATTTATCACAAGTGCCCATTTACACAAGCACCAAGCCCAGTCAGCAAGAGCTACCACCCCCCCGTATTGCAGCTGTTTCTTGGGACACCTCCACATGACTCCTGACTCAGGACCCCCTGAAAGTCCAAAGTTGCCCCTACCTTCCCCTGGCCCTCCCTGGCCCTCTCCCCGACACCCCTGCTCTCACCAGGATAGTCCCTCACAAAGTCCTGGTAAAGGGCCCCCAGCTGGTCGCCAGTGATATATCGAGAAGGATCAGCAGGGGACTTGAAGTCCAAGTCATATTTGCCATCACGATAAAACTCCGAGGCAGCGACATCCATGCCAATGACGATCTTTTCCGTGTAGCCGGCCTTGTCAATGGCTTCCTTCACCAGCTCCAAGGCTGGGGATGGAACACAAAGACATTATTGACCAGAAGGAGGGCAAGAAAGAGAGCAGAAGCGGAAAGCTGGTGCTAAGAGGTCTGCCTACGGTTATCGCCAAGTCTGGTCAGAGCAGACCACCTTCTGGGAAGGCAGAAAAGTGTACTTCTGTCAATAATACCTCTTTAACATAGCTATCATTTGTTGAGGGCTATGTACCTCAGCTCTTTGTATAGATAATCTCACTGAGTCTTCAGAATGATGCCATGAGGTAGACATGTTATTTTTCCCAATTTACAGGTAGGAAAGATGAGGCACAGAGCAGTTAGGTAAGAGAGGTCACCAGCCAGCAACACTTCCATGTCAAGGTTCAAGCAGTTTGGCCTCAGCACTACCTGCATTGTTTGTATTCAGCCTCTCCCAGGGCAGAGAAAAAGAGATCCCAGAGGCCTAAGATGTTGGGGTAGGAATGGGAAAGACTGGAATGGATTCCTGGAGTCTGGTATATCTCATCATACTGAAAATCCTGCAGCTAAAGGATGGGACTGATCCTATAGGTCACTTAGACCACCTCCCAGGATTCCCAGGGGCTCAGTGAGAACTGTAACACTAATACTCCAGGCTGGGCAGGTAAACACTGTCCTCAGAGCCTGGACATGCATCTGGCAGGCCCTCTTGACCCCATCCTAAAGACTGGTACTTCCAGGAGTTAGCAGGAGTCAAAAGACCCTCTTCTACCCACACTTCTGGGGGGCTGGTGAACCTTATGGCCCTTCCTGATAGCCCAGGATGGAGGGAGACTAAGGGCAGAGGTGAGGGGGGCCTTCCAGCCTCACCTTCACTGTTCTCCAGGATATTGGGGGCAAAACCACCTTCATCTCCCACATTTGTGGCATCTTTGCCATACTTGTCCTTGATGACTCCCTTGAGTGTATGGTAGACCTCCGCCCCGAGTCGCATGGCATCCCGAAAGCTCTCTGCGCCCACCGGGAGAATCATGAACTCCTGCATGGCCAGCTTGTTCCCAGCATGGGAGCCACCATTGATCACGTTGAAGGCCTGGGAGCCACATTAAGATGCAAAGTCACAGAACACTTTCCTCCCCACTCCTAGGAATAATGTTAACCCAAGATCCCAGACGTCCCCCAGCCTCCCAGACCAAAGGGTTCATATCTCCTGTCTCCGCAAAACCCCCTTTCCTCCCAGCGTCCCCCACTCCACCCCTGGGGAGAGGCCAGGGGTGCATGGCTCACGCTCACCGGCACAGGAAGGATGAGGTCTGAGTTCCCGGCCAGCTGAGCAATGTGGCGATACAGAGGCAAATCCCGCTCAGCTGCTCCTGCCTTACACACGGCCAGCGACACACCCAGGATGGCATTGGCCCCAAATTTGGCTGGAAGATTACAGAAGGCAGTAAGACGACAGAGGAACCGAAGGCCCTTTCCCCTTGGCCTCTGCCCCAAAAAGGAGACCCTCCTCCCCACTGCAGCCACTTACCTATTCCCTCATGAAAACATCGGAGGACAGAGGGGAGGGAATGATGGAAATGGCAGCGAGCTGTACCTATTCCTACACATCTCCAAGGCCCACTATCTCATGCCAACTCTCTCCCACTTTATGCTGCGAAGAAGTTCCTTCTGTCTCATGGCACATCCTCCCACTGCAGCCAAAGCCACCTTCTCGTGCTCTGACTTTAGAGGAGGATGGAGCAGGGCTTGTCCTCTTACATCCCTCCCTGAGGGAGCCCTCAGCTCTCAGGATCTGCCTGCTCCACTATGTGACCGCCCTCACACCTCCCACTCTCCACCAACCCCAACTTACATTTGTTCTCAGTCCCATCCAACTCCAGCATCAGGTTGTCCAGCTTCTCCTGCTCCACCACGGAGATACCCTGTGGGCAGAGCGGCCATCACCCAGGGCCAGGGTGGAGGCTGGGCCCTGAGACAGAGGACCCCTCTCACACACACACTCACATTCTACCAAGATCCCACCGGGTTTCTGTGACAACGGCCTACCTGGAATAGGGAACCTGAACGCCCCTTGGGGACTCAGGGGGGATGGTAAGGAGTCTCCTCCCCACCCTGCCCTTGGTAGAGCTTCCCAAATCCCCCTTCTCTTCCTTCTCCCCTAATCCAGGATTCCTGCGCAGACCCTGGTCCTACCACCCCCAGCAAAGAGCAGGCCTCACTGAGCTGATGAGGGCTGGTGCGATGATGCTGTTGATGTGGTCCACTGCCTTCAAGACACCTGGGGAGAGGCAGAGGCCAGGCTGGGTCAGGCCAGGAGGGCCCAGAAGGGAAAAGGGAGAGAAGGCATTGCTAGCAGAGGGTTAGGGATGAGCTGAGCTAAGAGTCCAAAGTGCAGGGGTGGGAGAGCCTGGAGCAGAGAAAGGGCCTCACCTTTGCCTAAGTAACGCTGTTTGTCTCCATCCCTCAGCTCCAGGGCCTCATAGATACCAGTGGAGGCTCCACTGGGCACTGCAGCCCGGAAAAGACCTGGAAGAGGAACATGGAATGAGGAGGGAGAGACTACAGGGAGAGATCCTTCAGCCCTCCAGCTCCAAACCCCTGCCTGCCAGTCCTGTTCCCTCACTGCTCCATAACACACACACACACACACACACACACACACACACACACACACGCGCGGAGATGCTCAGTAGTGGTTCCCCATGCTCAAGTGGGAGCTCACAGGAAGGCAGCTGTGCACACAGCAAACGTCTGTACATACACCAACCACACGCAGACGCAGACGCAGACGCACTAACTGGAACACGGAGAACCTGCCTATGCTGGAGACCCAACCCCCACAATCCAGCTTGTGAGCCTGGCCCAGCCCCCTCCCTCCCATTACCTTTGGCAGTGGTGAGATCCACCTCGACTGTGGGGTTGCCACGGGAGTCCAGGATCTCCCGGGCCCTGATCTTCTCTATGGACATGATGACTGGGATCTCCTTGGGTGGAAGGGAAGGAAGGGGAAAGATAAGAGGTTTGGAGGGGTGGAGCCTGCTATCAGTGGGAGGGGCCAGAGGCTGAGAGGGATGGGAAGGAGGTTACTGCAGTGAGTGGGGGGTGGGGAGGAGTTGGCTGCAGTGTCGTAGAAGGGATCCCCCACCCCCAGGGGAGAGACGGTCAATGCAGTGAGGAAGGGGAGGTCACTGCAGGAGTGGGGGGAGGGCTGGCAAGATGCACGGACCTGAGGTGGGAGCACACCGCAGTGAGGAGGGGAGCAGCAGTGGCGCCCTCACCCCCTCAGCAGCTTGGACAGCTGGCTGGTGGGGTTCCCCCAGATACCTTCAGAGCGGTATGGTTGCCAAGCTCGAATTTCATGTTGGAGCCAAGAAGATGGGTTGTCTTGGCAGATGGGGCCTCTCCTCCAGAAGCCCCATCCCACCCCAACTTGACACCTCAGCTCCCACACTCTGAGGTCCCAATTTCCCAAACGTAATACCCTCCCTTCTCGAGGGGTGAGCAGTAGGGAAGGCTAGGGAGAGGGTCCCAGGGAAGGCCCTCATGGGGGCGCGGGTGGCAGAAAGGGATGGGGGGCGAGGAGCTGAGCCTCGCCGGAGAGTCCTTGCCGGGAGGGTCCTCTCCTCAAGCCCCCAGACAAAATCTCTCGTCCCCTGTCCCATCCCCCCCAGCAGCCGGGAGAGGGCCGCGGGAACTGAGAGGGGCGATGCGGGGGAGGAGTGGGAACGAGGGGAGTCTAGAGGAAGTCTGGGTTGCTGCGGAGGAGGGAGAAGACATTTCCCCAGATGCACAGCTAAGGGTATGCAGGATAAAAAAACGCACCGCCAGGAAGACCCCGAACTGTACTGGGTGGAAAGAGAGCGAAGAGGGGCCGGGGGACAGGGGCGCCTTCGGCGTTGATGCCCAGAGGACCTGGCGCGCGGGGAGGGGGCACCGGGGG